AGTGAAATTTATAGTGGTTTAGGTGGTATAGAGCATGTAAAGATATCACTTCTAAGTTTAAAGACAAGTTGCTGCATTTGGCTTCTCCTACAGTCTACAAAGATAAGTTGCCTAGATATAATAACTAGTGGGTCTATTAGGATTTTGGAGAGAACACATTTCTTGTTTGAATGCTTCACTCTGGCCCATTTACTGAGTGACCCTCATGTTGCTAACTTGGGGGCTCAGAAGAGAAGAATGCTGTATACAAACTCCTTTGCCACTTGGATCATATAAGATCAAGCATATCCAGTGGTACTTGAGGTATCAGTGGCAGATAATAATAATAATAATGCTTTAATCACGGGACAGGCCTTTATAATTTTGAGAGGCAGCCATTTACCTATAACTAGGCCTTTACGGAAACTGAATACTTGACCATGTGCCATCAAATTACCATATGACCTGAGCTACTATCATAGACTGGTGTTATCTTACCCGCCAAGCCATGAAGTTGGGCATGCACAGTAGTAAGTACTTCATCATCAAATGGAAGTGTTAGGGCCCAAGCAGTTCCTGAAGGTACAAGTAAGTTACTTGAAGAAGTGGCCCAAATGCCCATAGTTCTTACTTCTGCTAGAGAGTCTTCTCTCTTTCATTCTGCATCTATGATTTCATCTTATAATCAGTTGACAGAGGAAAAGAGGACTAGGAATAGGTTTACAGACACCACTTGAAAGTAGACAGCTGCAGTACTAAAGCCCTTTTCTGGTACATTTCTTAAGACACTAGCGAAGAAAAATATTCTCAGTGGGCAGAACTTCAAGCAGTACACCTGATTGTACACATTGCTTAAAAAGAGAAATATCCAGGTGTGTGATTGTAAACTGATTCACTTGCTAGAGTCAATGATTTGAAAAGACCGTGATTAGGAAACTAGTGATGAAAAAATTTGGCAAAGAGTTGTGTGGATGGACCACTCTAAATGGGCAAAGGATGTGAAGATATTTATGTCATATATTAATGTTCATCAAAGGGTGATGTCAACAGAAGAAAAATTCATATCAAGTGGATAGTATGACCCATACTGTGGATACTATTAAGTCTCTTTCTCCAGCCACTCCTTTCTTCACCCAGTGGACTCATGAAAAAAGTGGCCATAGTGGCAGGGCTATGCATGGGCTCAGCAACATGGGCCTATGCTCACTAAGGTCAACCTGGTTGTTATCAGTGCTGAATCACTGATTTGCCAGCAGCAGAGACCAATGTAGTTCTCAATATGGAGCCATTCCACAGTCTTCTACCTGGTGACAGGTTGATTTTATAGAACCATGTCCATCTTGCTGTTTTGTATTTACTGGAATAGATGCTTACTTTAAATATGGATTTCCCTTCTACCAGTATGTTTGTACTAAAACTATGGTCTATGGTCCTACAGACCAACTTTTGTACTGTCATGTTATTGATACACAGCTTTGTTTCTGACCAAGGAATTAACTTCATAACAAAAGAAGCACAGTAATGGGCTCATACTCAGAGAATCCCCTGGTATTACTATGTTTTCCACCATCCTAAAGCACTTCCCAGCTCTGTGATCAGGAAATTGTTCCTATGCTAAAATGAGCTTTACCATGTAGTTCACAGTCCTGCATTATCTATTGTTCAGTGCCTAAAAACATTTACAACAGATGTCACATCCAGGGTTTTTTTAAATTTGTTTATGGTAGGAAGGCAAGTTTACTATGATTAATGCATAATAATTAAAAGCCTACCATAGTAATTTGAAGCCCATCATTGATCTTTTTTAAAAAGTGAAATAGTACTTCTAGTTTTAATTAGAATATAGACAGTTATGAGACCACATGCAGGAATGGGAACCATAGTACAGTGTTGTGATTTTGCTTATATGATGAGACATAGACTAGAGGTCAGGAAAGCTGGGAGGACTGGAATTTGTGGATAGAGAATCAGAGAAGAGGGAGCTATAGCAGATAAAATACTGCAAAAATCTGCCATTGAATCTTTGACTGCAACCTAAACTATACATTTAGAATAAAACACTATAAAGTCAAGCAAAGAACAATTATTTATCAAAGTTCACACCAGATGGAGAGATACATATTGAGTTTTGAGTAGCCACAGAGAGACCTTGTTGCATAACTGAGGCATTCAATAGATATCTAGAGGATGATGCTTTAACAATAAGGCTTGACTAGTCCCAGAGTTAAGGCTAGTCTAAACTCTCCAACAATCTTTTTAAAAGGCCAGAAAATAGAATTCTAACCTAAAAGTAAGTTAACTACTTGTCCAAATTAACTTAAACACTTTTTAAAGAAAAAAAATCCATGCATCAGCTTTATAACACAACAAACAACATCAATAAAAATTATTAGTAACATGAAGAAGGAGGAAAATGTGACCCATAACTACAAGAAAAATAAGTAAGTGGAAACAGATAAAAGGGTCACTGAGAAAGTGGGAGGGAGGACTTTTAGAAGACCTAGAATACCTAGAATATTCAATACCAAAGGAGAGCAACAATGTTGGAGAACTGAGGCAATATAACAGAGAAAAGATAGTCTCTTTAACAAGTGGTGTTGGAGCAACTAGACTTGGCAAAAAAAAACAAAAAAAAAACAAGTGAATCTAGACACAGATCTTCAAACTTTCACAAAAATTTACACAAATGGATCATGGGCTCAAAACATAAATCATAAAATTACTGGAAAATAACAGGGAAAACCCTTAATGGCCTTGGGTATTGCAATGACTATTTATTTATTTATTTATTTATTTATTTATTTATTTTTTGTTTTGTTTTTTGGAACTGGAGATTGAACCCACAGGTACTTTGCCACTGAGCTACATCTCTAGAATTTTTTTTTTTTTTTAAGACAAGGTCTCTGCTAAGTTGTTGAGGCTGGCCTTGAACTTCAGTTTCTCTGCTTCAGCCTCTTGGATTACAGGCATGTAGCACCATGCCCAAATGAAATGATTTTTTTAAATAAAACATCAAAGAAACAAACAACTCAAAGGAATAGTTGATAAGCTGGACCTTGTAAAAATTGAGAACCTCTGTTCTGTGAAATATACCATTAAGAAAATAAGAAAACAAATCACCGAAGAAAATAAGAAAACAAATCACTGAAGACATAGCTGAGGGGAAGAAGTATAGCTGGAGAAAGATATTGGCCAAATTATATAATGTGCATGTACAAATGTGTAGACAGATCCCACCATTATGTACAACTATAGTAGCACCAATAAAATGTGGGGAAAAAACATAGCTGGTAAGTGACAATTGTGCAAAATATAGGAAAATTTATTAGAACCCAACAATCAGGGAATAAAAAACATGATTTAAAAATAAATAAAAGATTTGAAGAGACATTTAACCAAAGAAGATACACATATGGCAATTGTGCATATAAAATATGTCATTAGGGAATTGCAAATTAAAACAAAAATGAGAAACCACTATACACCTATTAGAATGGCCAAACTCAAAACACTGACAATACAAAATGATGTTGAAGGTGTGGAAGAACTCTCATTCATTGCTGGTGGAATATTCTTATCATACAATCTAACTATTTCTCCTTGGTATTTATGCAAATGACTTAAAATGTTTGTTTGCATATAAAACCTGAACTTGGATGTTTATAGGAGCTTTATTCATAATTGCCAAAACTTGGAAGCAATCAAGGATGTCCTTCAAGAATAAATGGAAAAATATACTGTGGTACATTAAGATATTGGAATACTATTCAGTGATAGATTATCAAGCTATGAAAGACATGGAGGAAACTTAAATGCAAATGAAGTCAATCTGAAAAGGCCACGAACTGCATGATTCCAACTGCATTACATTGAGAAAAGGCAAAATTATGGAATGAGTGAAAAGATTAATGCTTGCCAGGGGTAAGGGGGCAGGAGAGGGTGAAAGTAGAGCATAGAAAACCTTTAGAGCAGTGAAACTGTTCAGTATGATACTATAATGGAGGATAAATGTCATTATACATTTGTCAAGATTCATAGAATATATAACGCCAAGAATGAATGTTAATGTAAGCTACGAAGTTTGGATAGTAATGATAGTAAACCAAAAGCAATGAAACATTCCCAGAGTGATTGTAGAGGTTAGAGCTACTGCAAAAGACTTGAGATATGCAGGGATGTGGGTTCCCACCATATCTCTCATTTGACTCATGCATTTGGCTTATGTAGAAAACATGAATCTTGGAGAATCACAGTGAATTATTATCAACTTAACCTAGGTGGTAACTCCAAGGGCAACTGGCACTCCAGATGGAACTTCATAGTCTGAGCAAACTAATATGTCTCCTTCATATATCATGTATAACTATTGATAAGGCAATGCCCCTTTTTCTCTTTTCAATCTCTGTGACAAAATAAAAAAATGTTGGAAGCTATATACCTTTACTATCTTATCTCCATGATATATCAGTTCTTCAGCCCTGTGTCATAATTTAATATACACGGTCTTTCACTTTCACAAGACTGGTCCATTTCATTGATAATATTATACTAGTTGGACCTAGTAAACAAGTATTAAACCTATGGTGAGACATTTGCACGTCACAGAGTGGGAAATAAATTTGATAGAAAAAGGTAACTTCTATCTCAGTGGAATTTCTAGGAATCCCTTGGGGTGGGATAAGTTGAGCTATACCTTCTAAGGTGAAGTTTTTGCACCTGGTCCCTTTCCAACCAAAAAGAAAAGCAGGAGGCACAATGGAGGCAGTGTATTCCTAATCTGGATGTTCTAGCCTGGCCCATTTACTGAGCGGTGAATAAAACTGCTAGTTTTCAGTAGGACCCAGAACAACCGGAGACTGCAACAGATCCAGGCTACTATTCAAAGTACCCTATCACTTTGGTCATATGATCTAGTAGATCTATGGTGCTTAAATTCTAAGTGGCAGATAGATATCCTGTTTGGAGACTTTGGAAGGCCCCCTAAAGGTATAGAATACAATGAGGTTTCTATTTTATTTTAGAACTTGAACCTGAAGAGCCTAAAGAGGTTTTAGAAGGTGAAAAACTTGAAGAAGTAGAGGAAGAAGTTAAGGAGGAGGAGGAAGAAATAGAAGAAATAGTTGGAGAACCAGCCAATTTGGAACGACTTTGGTCTTTTTCCTGTGACTTAACCAAAGGCCTTAACATAAGCAGCCTTGCCTGGAATAAAACAAATACAGTAAGTTATCAAATATTTTAATAATTCCATCTCTAGGATTTAAGGACAACTGTCAAATTCTAGTAATGAAGACTTTTTTCCTCTATGAGGCAATTAATTAAAATTATTCCCCAATTTTAGAATGTCCCTAAAACTACTTCATATTTCTAAAAGGGAAAATAAAAACAGTTACAAGATCGTGTGTGTGTGTGTGTGTGTGTGTGTGTGTGTGTGTGTGTTTACATACATATATATAAAACATTATCATTTTTATTTTAGGACATGTACTTGGGACATGGTATTCTCAATTCATTTCAGATACTAAGACACATGCTAGAAAGTAATATATGGTTGATTAATTTTAACATATACCAAAACTCATGTAACAAAATTCAGATTCTCATCATAGTCATATTTAGAAGTATATACTTCAATCCAATGACTCTGCAAATAGGCAAAATAATTTTGAGATTCCTTTAAATGCTATTACTACTAATATTAGCAAACACTTAAACAGTATAAACCAGACAGTGTTGTGTTATACCTGTGTTAACACTTTTAGGTATTATTGTTTTCTTCATTATGTTGATGAGGAAGCTGAGATACAAAAAGTTTAAATAACTTACCCAATGATCACAACTATTAAATGAAACAGTCAGAATCTAAACAGATAACCTGGCACCAAGTTCTCACCCTTAACTATTGCACTGCCAAAAATCCTTTTAAAACAAACAAAAAAAAAGCTGAATCAAGCTCAGAAATGGTATGTTTGCTTGTAAAGAAGAAATAATTATAGAATAACAAAGCCAATTTCCTCCTGGAGTTTATAAACTCATTCTGAAGACATTTCCCATTTCTAAAYCTAAATTTTGGAATTTAGCAATTTCAGAAACCTTTTGGAGAATAACATTATCTTTGAGATAGTGTGTTTTTAAAGTGGTCAAAACTATTTTTTTTAGAATTACATTGTATTACATATGTTTAAGAATTAGCCTTATGATGTTTTGCTTTTTTAAGTAATTTATTTATATATGACAGTAGAATGCATTACAATTCTTATTACACATATAGAGCACAATTTTTCATATCTCTGGTTGTATACAAAGTATATTGACATTAATTCATGTCTTCATAGATGTACTTTGGATAATAATGTCCATCACATTTTACTCTCATTTCTAACCCCATGCCCCCTCTTTTCCCCTCCACCCCTCTGCCCTATCTAGAGTTCATCTATTCCTCCCCATGCTTCCTCTCCCTACCCCACTATGAATCATTCTCCTTATATCAGAGAAAACATTTAGCATTTGTTTTTTGTTTTTTTGGATAACTTCACTTAGCATTATCTCTTCCAACTCTATCCATTTACCTGCAAATGCCATGATTTTATTCTCTTTTATTGCTGATAAATATTCTATTGTCTATATATGCCACATTTTTTTTTATCCATTCATCTATTGAAGGGCACTAGGTTGATTCCACAGTTTAGCTATCCTGAATTGTGCCTTATGGTGGTTTTCAAGATAGCGGAATAAAGGAGATCGCATTCCTAGCTGTTCCATGATGTGAAACCAAAAAAGCAGAAAGGCAGCTTCTCATCAAGGTGGGTGAACAAAAAAAGCAGGGTGGTGGACTTCACTGGAATTTAAAACTAGACATTCAAAGCAGATCAGGGACTCAAGAGGTTGGATATAATAAAATAAGGAAGAAATCCCCAGCAGCTCAGCCACTGCCATGACCAAGCAGCAAGCAATATCCCAAGTGGTCCCTCCATGAGCAAAGTGGAGGGATAAGGCAATTATAGGAACCTGCACTTTTAGGAGACCTGAGGCATGTCTAGGTATGGAGCATTTAGAGATCAAGGAAATTGTCTTAAACTGAAAGGCGCAGTGCACAATATCGTTGTGGGGGAAAGAAACCACCATCTCTCCGCACGGCATGCAGAGGACAAAGGAAGGAATGATTTTGCAGCACATGCATGGATACTGGCAGCTAAAAGAGCCAATTTCTTGCAAACCTGAGTTTTGCCTGAAATATAGGCCCAGTAAGCAAACATTACACAACAAAGAGTGTGCTTAACTTATCAGGAGAAAATCAGACATGGAGAGAGGTTTATATAGAGGACAAATGGTTGTGGAAATCTACCTGGCTCTATCCCTCCCCCTCCAATCTGATGGTTTGTAGGACCTTCTTGGAGAGACATATCTGGCCAGGAATTTGGAAGGGTGGAGGCAGGATAAATTGAGTTTAAAGACTGAACCCAAGACCAGGAAACAAGGGGTCCACAGGTGATATAAGGAATTCAGAATTAGCTCCTCCACAACTTGAGTGAAACCCAGAGAGATCCCTGGGATCCAGTCTTCGACAGGGACCAGCAAGTTCTGGGCACTGGAGGTGCACTGATTTAAACTATCCAGACCAATTAGCATTCAGTGAAGAACCTGGAGCCCACCTAAGCCTAAACCCTGCCTCCAGGAATTCCATCTATGGGTTTACCTCTATCACTTCAGCAATCCCCAGGGTGAAGTATCATGCTCCAGAAGACCCCACCATACCCCGCTAAGAAAAGAAGCTGAGAATGTTTTGAAATTCAGTGGAAAGATTCTTTAACTTTTCATCAAGATTTTTTTATTATTGATTTTTTTATATATAAATACATGACAGCAGTAGAATGTATTACAATTCTTATTACACATATAAAGCACAGTTTTTCATATCTCTCTATGTTCACGCCAATTTATGCCTTTGAACATGTACTTTTTTTGCATTACAATTCTTTTTTTTTTTTTTTTTWWWKARAGAGWGAGWGAGRGRRGRGAGAGAGAGAGAGAGAGAGAGAGAGAGAGAGAGAGAGAGAGAGAGAATTTTTAATATTTATTTTTTAGTTCTCGGCGGACACAACATCTTTGTTGGTATGTGGTGCTGAGGATCGAACCCGGGCCGCACGCATGCCAGACGAGCGCGCTACCGCCTGAGCCACATTCCCAGCCCCTGCATTACAATTCTTAATACACATATATACCACAATTTTTCATATCTCTGTTTGAACACAAAGTATGTTGACACCCAATTCAAGTCTTCATACATGTACTTTGTATAATGATGACCATCACATTGCACCATCCTTGCTAGTTTCCTGCCCCCTCCATTTCCTTTCCACCCCTCCTCCCTATCTAGAATTAATCTAATCCTCCCATGCTCTCCCTCCCTACTCCACTATGAGTCAACCTCCTTATATCAGAGAAAACATTTGGCATTTGTTTTTTGGGGATTGGCTAACTTCACCTAGCATTATCTTCTTCATTGTCATCCATTTACCTGCAAATGACATGATTTTGTTCTTTTTTAATCATCAAGAATTTTTTAAAAATTCTTTTTCTCTTTTCAATTGTGACTTTAATGCTACATGAATATTTATGCATACTCATACTTGATTTTTTTCTCATTTCTAGCATTTTTGAATCCAGTTATTTTTCATGAATGAATTTTTGGGGGACTAGGATATTTGATTAGTAATGTCTTAGTTTTGTTTTACATTCTGTTATTTTGATTTATTTTTAATTTTTAATACTTCACTTTATATTTTTCTCTCATGTGTTTTCCTTGATTCTTTTTCTCCTTTTCTTCCACTATCAGCCAATCTGTTATTCTCTTTCATTCTTTCTTTAATCTTTTTACTTCTATTTTCTCTCCTCCCTCATAATCATCACATCCTATATATCATTTCTCTTCTCTCCCTGTCCAACATTTGAAATTGTAAACCATTTTGCAAACTTGCTGTTTTATTGTAGGCAATAACTGATCATATCATTTGTTTATTATTATAATTAACATTGTGGATGTCATAGTAGGAACTATTTGATTTAATGCAGTGTATTGTTTGAATTGGTTATTGCTGTTATTTGACTCTYCCTAAACAGTGAGGTACTGGAAACCTTCAGTGACATTCTAATCCACAGGGTTAAAAACTCTATTGCCTTAGATTCATACTGTTAGATGAAAAAGCAAGGGAATAAATTGCCCCAAACAAACCAATATACTCCAGTAACAGAATTCATTGGCACCACAGTGGAAGAAATGTCAGAGAGGGAGTTTAGAATCTACATAGTTAAACTGATACATGAAACAAAGGATGGTATAAGGAGTGAAATTAGAAAATACTAGAAGTGAAAGATGACTTCAAGAAAGAGACATTCTGGGGAAAAAAATCCAGAAATCTTTGAAATGAAGGAATCAATAAACCAAATTAAAACTTCAAGTAATATGGAATAAACTGAAAAGACCAAATTTAAGATTTATTGGGATAGAGAAAGCTCAGAGATAAAAAACAAAAGGAATGTACAATCTTTTCATTGAAATAAGACAAAAATTTCCAAATCTAAAGAATGAAATGGAAAATCAAATACAGAAAGCTTACATGACCCCAAATATACAGACACACACCAAGGCACATTACTTTGAAAATACCTAACATACAGAATAAGGATAGAATCTTAAATGCTGCCAGAGAAGAATGACAGGTCACATTTAGAGGGAAATCAATCTGGATCTCAACTGATCTTTAAACCCAGACCCTCAAAGCTAGGAAGCCTTGGAATAACATATCAAGGTCTGAGAGAACATGGAAGCCAGCCAACAACTATACTCAGCAAAACTAAGCTTTGGAATTGATGATGAAATAAAACCTTCCATAATGAACAAGAGTTAGTTAAAATTGAATTCAGAACTGGAAAGCCTGCAGTACAAAACATACTCAATAAGATATTTCATGAAGAAGAAATGAAAAAAGGGGAAACCAGCATTGGGAGGAACTATTCTAGAAGAATAGTCGAAGGAGAAACTAATTCAAATTAAAAATCAGAAATAAATCAAAATAACAGGGAATAAAAATTATTTCTCAATAATAACATTGAATGTAAATGGCCTCAACGCTGACCAAAGACATGGAGTGAAGATTGGATTAAAAAAAGAAAAACGAACAATATGCTGTCTACAAAAGACTCAACTTGTATTCAAAGCAT